ACGAAAAGAAGATTATATGGCATCCAAAATAACGAATAATCACTACTGATCACTTATACTCCGGCGCAATAGCATTTAGTTATTACATTGTAGATGCGAAATATAGTCTTGTGTAATAATTGTGTTCACAGCTGTTACAGTACTAGATTCTTATAATACTTTACAATGTTTTTAATTATAATTTAATAACTATTTTTACAACTAACAGAAAAACATTTCGTTATATACTAGATATATTGATATATATTTGAAAATTAAAATAATTCAGCAAAATGAAATATTTATCAAAAAAGTAATTAAAAAATAGAGTTTTCGCTTCAATTCTTCACTTTTGCCAAGGTTGTTTAAATAATTCTATTTTCAAAATTATAATTACTGTATTTTTAAAGCACATTTGCAGAAAATTTACGTAAAGTTTTCAATATAAAAAACTGGATTACACATTGAGTGACGTCCATTGTCATAAAGTGAAATATATCTTATGGAGAGTTTAAAAAAATGTCTAGGATTACAGATATTTGCTAAATAAACACAACCATATAAAATAATTATATAGTCTACTTATTTAAATAAATTTAACATTAATATTAAAAATATAGCAATTAATTAGTTGTTTTTTTAATTTAACTAATTTCAGTAGAAAATCTTTGCACATTATTACAGTTTATCTCCAGTATCCTATGTATTTACTGAATAATTCGACCGAATTATTTAGTAAATACAAGAGTAATTCACATTGATAGCTTTGTTAAATGTTTAGCTATTAGGCGCAGAATTTTATGGCAGTTTTGTAAGTCCATCTTTTCTATAAGTACACCGAGGGTTTTTTTAAGCAACTTTCATTCTTCTGTTGAGTAAAGAATGTCTATTTGGACTGTAGCTGCACCTTTCCTTTTGGAGTGGATTGCTCGAGTTCCGAATACATTTTTTTATCTCTTAATAAATTATAAAACTTATACTAAAAATCTAGCATTGCTAGGATTAGACTGGGTTTTCCATCATTGTTCGATCGTATTAAATAGTTTGATCGTTGTAAAAGTAAATAAATATTTTGTAGAGTTTTTCTCTTAATGTTTCAATATTTTTTAGCATTTTTCTGTTCGAAATTTCTCTATTAATGTAACAATCTTATTCTAACTGCCTCTAAATACTGAGAACTTAAAATTCTATCAAAATTTCTATGAAATAAAAAAATATTTGAAGAAAGAAAAGAAAAGAATTTAGAAAAATTAAAGCTAATGAAAAATATTATTTATTATAATTATTTTTTTAAATAACTAAAGTTTCCTAAATATGAAAAGAAATATTGGATTGTATTTTACATTATCTACCAGGAGAGATAACACACATTAACACAACGTAATTAGCTGTGTTAACATTAAATTAATATGCGACTAATTACAGAATAGAATAATTTCTCTTACATATTTTGAATTTAAGAAATTTTTAAAATTACATTGTAACCGCATTACTAAAATTGCTAATTTTTAAATTACTTTTAAAACTTGCTTTTTCCGGTTACCGTAAACGTAAATTATCATGTTTGAATTTAATTTATTTAAACCAGTGTTTCTCAACGGGGGCGATATCGCCCCCATGTGGGCGATTTTCCATGTTGAGGGGGCGATTAGTGACAATTTATATTTTGGGGGGCGAAAAACAATTTTCTTGGCGATATAGTAAAACATATTAAGAATAATTAGATATTTTATTCGTTATATCGTTCAATAATTAAACAAATAACATTATACTAGTCACTAGTCTATTCAATGCAGTACGAATTTGGCATTAGCCTTGGCCCTCGGCCTGGAAATTTTGAAGTGAAGGGGGCGATACTACATAACGGTTTTATTGAAGGGGGCGATACTACGTTGAAGGGGGGCGATGGTTCGTTACAGGTTGAGAAACATTGATTTAAACATTTTAATTTATAACGATTTTGAAAGATTATTTCATTTAAATTAAACTTGTTATAATTTCTAATTTTATGTAATCACAAGTAGGAAAGGATCTGTTTAAATCAGAGGTCCCCAACGTGGTCGACTAAAGTGGTCCCCAGAAACGCCTTATCGACCCCCGGGAGTCGATAAGAAATTTTTGGGGATCGAAAATAAGTCGGTGGTCGACTAGAGTCGATTAAAAACGATTCATCAAAAATTACCAATGGATTATGTATATGACAGTTCTAGGATGATGTAAATTTGCACAATGTAAATAAGTAGATATTTACTATGAAAACAGTGAGTGAATTAATATTGGCTCATCAAATTTATCATTATTATTCTTATTATTTATAATTGTATTAGTAAAACAAGAAGAACTGAGTCGATAAAATATCGAGGAACTCTTGAAGGGATCCACAGTCAAGAAAGGTTGGGGACTCTTGGTGTAATGTTTTTCTCTTTTTTACACTTAAATTTAGGAATTTAAGAATATTTTAAAGAATTATTCACACTCTGAGTCTCGAGAAGTTTATCGATTTGACTTAAACAGAATTGGAATTATATGTATTTAACCAGTTGTTTTCTTTTCCACAATGATATACAATAAGTAAAATTGCAAGGTTTCCTATTTAAAGAAATTTAAATTTATTGAATGCATTTAAAAAATATTTGTAGAATTTATGGGTTCAAATCTACAATAAAACATAGAAAACAATAAATGTTATACTTGGAGGAAGTGTTAAATTATTGATAAATAAGTTAATAAATTCTATACCTTAATTAATATGAAAAAAAACTTTAATAGTATAATACAGAATTCTACTCTTTTAAACTTATTTTAATGTATTTTTACAAAATGATATAAGATTAAATAAAACATAACTGACAAATATAGATTATGATCACATAGTTTTTGTAAGATTAATATTAAAAAAACTTATTGAAATAGCAATAAACTTTAATTATTTTATTAATCTAAGATACATATTAAACCATACTCATCTTAATTATAATGGATATTTGAAATTTATAATTTATTTTTGTAGAACTAAATATACTATTATTACTACAATAATTACTGTAATTTACTTATCATTAAAATTTCAAATGAAATACGGTATTTTGTAATTTAAAGTTTAAATGATATTAATTATAGAATAATAATTGGTTAAGATTAGATTTATTCACATAAACTATAAAACTCACTTGAATAATTAATATTTTATTCTGATCTTAATCAAGCTCGAAAATTTTATTTCGTGATTATTGGACAGAATTCAATGACAATTTTGAATATTTAAACATTTCTTTTTCTTTTATATTTTCAAAGTTTTGACACTTTTATTTTGTATTTCCCCTGTACTTGTATTAGCTCTTTACTGATACGTATTTATTTAATACGCAGGCCTTTATTTATTTAATATGTATCGAAAATTAAAAACATATATGTAGTTTTTAAATTTTAATACAGTAGAACCTCGAAAACTTGGCCTAATGTGGACCGAAGGGTGGCCGAGTTTGTGAAAATGCCGGGTTATCGGGAATGGGGTTAAAAAAATAAGTACGAGTGTTTCCGCAGAAAATACTGTACTGTACTTGTATGTATTGTTTACTTGAGAATATAACAGAGAATTAACTGCCCAAATACCCTTAAACAGAGGAAAAGTACGTCCTTTATGAAGGCATAGAGCATTTACTAAATGAAAATGAAAATTAATGAATACACTGTGTACAGTAATTTACCTGATAAGACAGACCTCAGAAAAATACTTTATGAGCGCTTTTATACTTTTATAAAGCTGTCTATAATGAAAATTAATTAACTAAGGATTTTTTTGCCCTGCCAGGGTGTGGCCGAGTTATCCGGAGTGCCGGGTTATCGAGAGCCGAGTTTTCGAGGTTCTACTGTANTAGCGAGAGCCGAGTTTCGAGGTTCTACTGTATTCGAAAACATTTTGTTTAAACGTTTTCTATGATTCCTATACTACAGTATAAATATTTATTTTATAATGCTATCTTTAAGATATTTTAGAATGTAGCTTAATAAATTAAAATTCTGATGTTAATCGATGAATTCATCTCATTTCAAAATCGATTCTAGTTCTTTAAATATATACAGGATGTTCTATAAGTCTGGCCCCATAGGACTCATAGGAGTTATGTTAATCTTTGTTTATTCTTTTACACGCGTGCAATTGATAGGAAGTCTGAATGCATCTGTTCAACTCTTCGGAGACATTTCACAGACTGTGGGTACCGATCATTAAAATATTTTCACTTTGATCTTTCTTATTCAGCGTTGTGCTTTACGTATAAAAAATAAACAAAGATAAATACAACCTCTACAGGGCCACATCATAAGGTCACACCTGTATATAAAAATGAACCTTGAGAAATTCGAATCCGAAAGATAATAATGATCCAGATTGATTCGAATTTATATTCCACACAACTAAAGGAGAATTTGCAATTTAATCAATTAATGGCTTTAGACTGTAATCCACATAAATATAAATTTAAGTCTAACATATAAAGTTAGAGAAAAATCTAATTTTAGGTGAAGATTCAATTTTATTAAGTTAGAAGGTTAATTATTGGCGTGAGATTCGTGAATTTGTATATCAAAAGCCAACAGGTTGTCGAAACACGACTCTAGGGAATTGATGGAGTACCATCATGACAACTATGTTATATGTATAATCGGCCGTACATTTTAATATTAATTATTTAAAAATCTTAAAGTGATTAACAGACGTATTTGAAATAGAAGAGATCTAAAACGGTTAAAAATTTTCTAAAAAAATGGTAAAAATTCGGATAAAATAATCGCAATGCTGCTGCCATCTATAAAGAAATAATGACAAACAAACGAGCAATCACTACTTAAAAAAAATAATAATAATAAATTTTGTAAATTATTATAAATTAAAAAAATACATTTTAAAATTTTAATTTATTTGTTAAAAACTATTTTAAAATTAACCAGAGACAATATTCATTATTTGTTTATGTTGTTGTTGTTATTTACGTTCGATCAGCTAAAAGGTTACCAAACGACGCAAAGCTCGCGCCACCTAGCGAACGACGGGCAAAGGAATTCCGACAGCGGCGGCCGTGGCGATGAGGCAGGAGACGTCTATCTGACTTTTCGTGTCGGCTACGCCGAGAAAAAATTAAAAATCTCGATTAACGAACGAACGACCGATGCTTTAATCGTGGATATATCGTTCGAGAGGTTGAAATGAGCGAAGAGGTCTGTTCCGAGACCCAGCTACCTCTTCTCCAGCAGGAAACTATACTGAAGGTAAGATTCTTTTTCCGATGTAAAATTAACTTTTATTATTATCAATTCTCAGTTGTCATTTATGTATAAGCGAGTTACGTCGAACTACTGTAAAGTGATCTTGACCTTCTGACAACGCAGCCTAACGGGAAAGCACTCTTTAGCTAGTGTTATTTGTTTCGGCCATGTTTCCACAGCTGCGTTGGCAACCGACACTCCCGCTTTCGGTAATCCGAAAATCAATCATATAATGGCGCATGCGTTTACTTTCTCTACCATTGCCCCAGTTTTGGTGTCCCTGACTTTATCGACAAAGAAGAGAGCTTCTCTCTCCATCCGACCTCGATTTTTCTGGGAAAGAAGACGAAGAGAATGTCCCGCTACCTCGGAGAGCATAAACTAGAAACGACCTCGATAGAAGAGGAGAATATGGGTCGTCGATCGATGAAGATTTCTATTTTTAGAACACTCTAATTGGGTCGTTTCGTCCCCCGTTTTCCGACGTACAGATTTTCCGAAAATAATCTTTATTGATGCGATATTTCGAGTATTTTATCAACTCGAGTATCCACTACTATTATTTTCTATTCTTTCAATTGGTTCTGTTCTTCGACTTTTATCAGAATTCCCATTAATTCTCCATTATCTCACCTTAACGATTGTTTGAGTTGACGGAGCGAAATTCTTCTCTTACTAGACTCTCTAATATCGAAATCTTGGATGTTTAACCTTTAGTATATTGATGTTTAAAGTCACAAATTGAATTATTTGATTCGGTTGTATAATAGTTTTCTTGCGTGAGTCGTTTTCTTCTATTATGACAGAAAAGGAAAAGAGCACTTTGAATTATACTAAAACGTTTTGTTTTAATTAAATACACACTTAAAAATTTAAATTTATGCTTTTTTTGATTTATTGAACTCTCATTTAAAATTTATTATNTTTTTTTATATCAATCTGATTTCGAATTTCAGTAACGAATATTTTTCAGTTTCGAAACAAGTCAAGAATATATCTGTCAAATTTATATCACTAATTGTTGTTAGGTCGCAATTTTCAGATTGTAAACCTATGCATTGCCACTGACGTCCATTCATCTGTCCTTTTAATCTCGAAAACGGAGTTAGGTGGATGAAAACCGAGATCAGACATGAAAAGCTTAGGATTATGGACCGGAAGTCATGCAAATTTTTTAAAATTAAAAGATGATTAAAAATCGCAAATCGACATTGTGACGCTGTCACAATAATATACATTCAATTTTTCTTGTGCGGTGATGAGATATGATTAGTATACTTTACTCTCCAACCACGAATATTACACTACCTTGCTATTAATGCATACGTTGTTAGAAGATGTAACATATATATTTTTTTACGTTATATCTGTAATAAAGTTAATATATATCTTATCTTTCGAATTGTTATTTAAAGTGTATCAAATTTACTATACACCTAACTTATTTGTGCGTTTATTTTATTTGTAATTTCACTTAAAGTAGTCTTGCTTACAATTATAATTTCTTCTGCCATTGAAAAAAAAAGACAGTAGACTTCAAATAATCATTAATTCCTTATTTTATATACTGGTATTTGATTTTTCCACGATAATTTGTATAGTTTTGAAATGCTTATAGATTTTTCCATCTAAGTATTTTTAAAACTTTATAAATAAAATATTCTATATACAGTATATATAAATTCGAATGGTTGTCTGTCCTTTATACTCTTCTAAACCCTTTGACCGATCTGCACCAAATTTTTCAGAGTTACTCTCTAAGACCTGCGGAAAATATAGTCGAACACGAAACCTGAACACATAAATGTACTGTACATGTGTTTAATGCTAAAAGCACATATTTTTATCACAGGATTAATTCACATGATGATAAAATATGATGAAAAGATGATAAAACTAGATCACACAAATTACAATCCATTTAAAAATCCTAAATGTTTCAGATGATTAAATCAAACATTAAAAAATGCAAATTTCAAATGATTAAGATCATAAAAATGCAATTTTTTCGAAGCTACAACTTACATTTTATTATATAATCAAGTTAATTATGTACGTATACACAGTGGCGTAGCGTAGTGGGGGCGGCAGGGGCGGCTCGCCCCGGCACTTTTAAGGGGCGACAAAATTTCACAATAAATAATAATAATACTGTATCTTGTAAAAATTTGAACCATTTTATTTCATATTTTTGTCGCGCCTACGATTCGGACCGATTGAAATGAGCACGGAATTTTTCATTACTTATTCTGTGACGAAACTGAATTTTAGTCTTTTAAATTGAGATACCTAAATAAGGGGGGTGAAATTTTCCTCCGCCCCGGGCGGCTGACACCCAATCTACGCCACTGCGTATACACACTCGAATAAACGTTAATAACTAAGTTTTGCGTTCTAATTGACAAAGCATTAAAGTTTATAGATAAGTCTTTCATCACAGATAAACTGTGAAAGACATATCTATAAACTTTAAAATAATTTATTTTTAGGAAATTCGATTCTTGGATATTTTTATTCTTGTGAAGATTATTAATTAAATTTTTTCTTGACAAATGATATTACTAATTGGAATAATTTATATTTTCGTGCCTTGTTTTGCCTTAATTAAATTAATCGTGAATATTAACTTAGCTAATCAGTTAATTTAATTTTCTTTTTTAAAATTTAATTTACGATTAAAGATACATTAAAATCGTTATTATTACGTAATGTTAATAGTTTGTTTACATTAATGCAGCAATAGTAATGGATGTTTACAATTTATTTTATTATTGCTTTTGTTAAATTTAAAAGCTATTATTATGAAGTATACTGTTAAATAACATACTTTGATATAGCTATAATAATTCATTTGCATCATATAAATTAAATGATTTTAATTGTATTAAATTTAAGTGATTACAGGTATCTCTTGCTTAACGCGGGATTTGATTATACACGTGGGCAATCCCTTTATATGCGCGGCAGAAGTTTTAATTTAAAGTGCTTTACCAGCTGTCTATTTAACTTAGATATCGTATTTTGATTAATGCGATTTTGATATACGAGGTAGGATCGAGGGAGTAATTAACCACGTTTATAAGGGATACCTGTATAATTATCTTAAAAATAAGTAAGATTTTCCTATTGAAGAAATATGCTTGAACAAGCAAAATTTATTTCCGTTTTTATAGACATGGCACGTCTGGCAAGCACATAAATAAGCAAGCCAATGACGTAGTCCGTTTCATACGAAATGAACTTATGTCATTGGTTGCTTACTGACAAGTGAGCTGCTTGCAAACGCTCTCAGTTTGGCTAATTGGTATATTTATATAATAGTATTCCAAGTACTAAAATTAGTCTTATTCTATGAAAGTAAGATAAGAGTCGGCTACTGTATTAAGATCCTTGAAATAAAGGTCTTAAGTAGATATGGACTCACCAATGGCCGCGTGGGTAAACCACTGAATACTGATCGCCAGTTCGCATCTCACCAACGAGGTCCGAACTCGCTACGTGAAGGTTTTAGTGTTTTATTTTCCTGTTTCATATCTAAATAGGACTCAGTTTACCATAGAAAATCCTCTCGGGAGATATTTTCCTTTGGCAGATCGTTCACGTATTGCGTTGCCATATCCCATCATGTAGTTATGATGTTTTGTATGAAAAATGCCCCGTGCTCCTTATATTTTAAAAAGTCTTCATACATATGCTTTTAGAGAATACAACCAATTGAAGAAAACTTTATTTATTTGAAAAAGCATTTGGAAATATACTCAAATAGGAGAATCGAAATGATAATTTTTCATTAGCACTTTCTTATTTCTGTGGCTTGGAAGAATAAGAGCCAATTTCAAGTGATTGACCCTTATTCCTTCAAGCCGCAGATTTATAAATGTAAAATATGATTTCATATATTATGATATAAAATGTGATAATTTTTTTATATCAATCTGATTTCGAATTTCAGTAACGAATATTTTTCAGTTTCGAAACAAGTCAAGAATATATCTGTCAAATTTATATCACTAATTGTTGTTAGGTCGCAATTTTCAGATTGTAAACCTATGCATTGCCACTGACGTCCATTCATCTGTCCTTTTAATCTCGAAAACGGAGTTAGGTGGATGAAAACCGAGATCAGACATGAAAAGCTTAGGATTATGGACCGGAAGTCATGCAAATTTTTTAAAATTAAAAGATGATTAAAAATCGCAAATCGACATTGTGACGCTGTCACAATAATATACATTCAATTTTTCTTGTGCGGTGATGAGATATGATTAGTATACTTTACTCTCCAACCACGAATATTACACTACCTTGCTATTAATGCATTCACTAGAGTTTTTTAAGTAGGCTTCGTGTTTATGATTGCAATTTTGCATATATTTAATGATAATTTTAGTGATATCTTTGTCACAAAAAGTAGATGTGTTTGGAATCTATGGTGATAATTAATTTATGGATTTGTAAAGAATATTATAAGTAAACTTGTCTTCGCTTTATGGATTTTCATTTTAATGCATAATGGAAATTTATATATCTGCTTATAAACACTAATTATACCACCATCTCTTTATAGTTAATTGTATATTTCTATGCTTAGCATTTATCTAAATATATAAACTTACTTGTCCTGACTGACTGACTGACTGATTGATTCATCATCGTCCAGAGCAAACCGCTGAACCTAAAGAGGTGAAATTTGGTACACAGTTAGGGTACGTCATAAAAACGCACACTAAGGCCAGGAACACACATGCGTAAAATTCGGCGTAAAATCTAGCATAAAACAGAAAGCGTAAACATTTTTCTGAAATTTTGGCAGAAAAATAACCGAAAAAAGAGTAGAGCATGTCTCTACTTTTTACGCCCAAAATTCCTCCAATATAGAGAAATCTTTTTGTGACGTCAAAGTCAACACGTGGTTTTTATTTTAATAATGACGGCAATGGCGGTTAGCCCTATAGTTGTGACGGTCTCCAAAAAACGAAAAATAAATGAAATAGAAGGCTTTA